AAAACACTACTGTCAATCAAACTATCGTGGGAGGGGCCTGTACAGAACTACGTCATTCTGACAGGGCTCTCAGAACAGCCTGATTTGAGAAAGGGGATTTTAAATAGGGATTTAAAAATAAAAAACACTGGGTGGATTTTTATAATTATAGGATGGATGTGTACACACACTTCCAACACACATTTATGTTCAAACAACTTGAAAAGTGAATTTTGCATCCGATGACCCCTTTAAAGTCGAGTTAAAAGAGTTGAGCTACATTTAAAAAGTATTTTGCTGATTTTTTTCTACTTCTAATATTTTTTAAATATACATGTATAATGTCAGATTTCACAGCTGCTTCATTTACATTTTGAATGAACCCATTTAGCTACTACAATCAGAGTAACTTTTATAGGAGAGCATGAGATTCACTTGAAGGTAACGGTTTGGTTGAACACCACAGATGTTTGTAGTATTAATCTCTGATGCACATAAAAACAATGTAGTTTTAAAAAAGTAGCTTCTTAATGGAAAGACTATTTTGAAAGCTGATCTATAAACATTAGTGGCTTTACTATTAGTTATTGCACAACACTGATGGAAAGCAGCAAATGTGAATGACATGTGTAGCCTGTAACTTCTAGTAGGCTAATATCTCAGTAATGCATGGTGTTATTGTTCAGTCACGACTTCAGTTTGAAGGTCAACTTCAACCTCATATAGGTTTTTAGAACATGAAGGTTCGAGATAACATCGTTCCAATAAATGACATAGGCTACTCCACTTTTTTACATAAAAAAAGTGTTAGATTTTTAAATAGCTTACATTTTATTGGTGTATTTATTGAGTAGCCTACATTTTAATTTTAAAACAATTTAAGTTGTTGTCAAAGATGAATATTGATGTGGAGTGAGAAATAACTCCACATTAAGTAAATCTTAAAAATATTATTTTAGTCAAATGCTAATTTCTTTTCATGAAATAAACTTCGATAATTTAATTTTTAGACGTTGTAGATGTTCTACAAAATAAATTTATTTTGTAATGGCTGCTGGTATTATATTTCAAATATTGCTGTTTTTTTTTTTAGTTGAAAGTTACAGCTAAACAATTTACCATTGTCTAAGAGAAAATATTTTTGAAAAATAATGAAAAGTAATTTCATGTAAATTTTCTGAATTCACTAAATGTTAATTTTGGATCAAGTTTAGATAAAGGAAATAATTAGTACTCTGGGGGGCCGAGAAAAACATGGTAAGGCAGGTTTCCTCCTCGTAGGGTCTGCCATTTGACTGAGATGATCATTTCCAGCACTTTTCCAATGATAGGAGAGGCCTTGCAGCAGTGGTCGCCCAGAATCTGCTAAACTTAGTCGAACTGAATCTAAAAATCATTTGATTTGAGTATTATAAAAACAGCTCTGGTATGAAATGGCAACTTTAAGCATCCACACTGACAAAAAAACGAAATGCTACAAAAATGTGCTGCACCTTTACATTTTGATTATAATTCACAAATGATTCAAATTTTGCTGTTGGTCATTAACTATCATAAAGAATAAATGCTCATTTAAGAAAAATATCCAATATGCATATATAAAAATCACTTTCAAAACGTTTCGATTTTCAATTTTACTTCATGCTTGGTGAAATAAGATGAGATGTTTATCTTTTTTTATTGTTATTGTTGACAGCCAAGTGGAAGATCCGTCAGCAGACAATGAAAGGCCTCACAATCCCATCAGACCCAAACAGCCCGAGTGCTTCAGCAGCAGACACATTTACTGCCGGACAATCAGTTCAATTATTAACCTTCATTAGTTACTATGCCAAAGCAAGGAAAAACAGGACTTGAGAAATGTGACACTCCACAGACACCGACAGCTGAACACGAGCTCACATAAATGACACACATGAATATGGCAGGAGTGTACTGAATTGGAAACAAGACACAAAGGCTGTTGATGATTCACAGAATGAATGTCAGCACTATTTGTGAATTTTTCTGTATTACTTTTTTTCCGGTATTTTGAACGACATAAACTGTTACATCTTAACGCACACTTACAGCTTTCTGACCAACACTCTTTTGCGTAATACCAAGCTACAATAAATTCAAGGGCTGCGTCCGAAAGCTCTATAAGGCATCAAGGCACGTCCAAATCCAAATTCTGCTTCACTTCCTGTCTCCGGAGGTACCTTCTTCTGATCGAATTTTGAAGGCAGCATAGATGTATCCTTCACTGCCTTTGATATCCCACAATCCTGTGCGTTCCATTCCGTGACGGTTGAGCTAAAAAATAAAGATGGCGTCTGAAAGTTGCGTTGGTGGCGATTGTGTGTAAATGTATATTTCTGACTAACATTTTGCACTTTTGATGATATTTCTAACGAGAAATCAGTACTATAGTAATGAAATATTCATTTAGTTATCACCAAAACTCGTTCTATTTTATTGTAGATCATTAGTCCGTTACGCTGCCTCAGAAGCCTGTCCGAAATCATTTTCATGAGGTGCCTTTGTCCAAAAACGCTGCCTGCAAAGTCATTGCCTCATAAGGCAGCAAGTCAGCTGCCTAGGCTTTCAGACGCAGCCAAGATTTTATGACACAACCATTTCATTCTCAGCAACGTATGTGACAAGTCTGTGCTGTTTAGAATCCATAATTGAAATAACATTTCACAAATGCATGAACTGAAAGAGCCAGTGCTATGTGGTAAAGTCAACCAAATATTACATATACGATACTGGACACACTACACCTGCCGTTCTCTTTAGAAAACACACTCTCATCCGTTAAAAACACTTCAAGTAGAGTCCAACGGCTTTCAGCAGACTGTGATATTTTATATCTAGAAACTATGGTCAACTTATGAATCTCACTTGTGATAGTTTAGCAGATTTTGTGAACAGTAAGTGTAGAGCTTACAGGCTACATTACACTTCTTCATATATGCATAAGACATGTTGTTTCCTTAAGTGCATTATATTGTTAAATAACGTGAATCTAAATGAAATTATGGGGGGATAAAGTCACTTCGTGACTTTTGTAAGTCTATAAACCTATTCCTTTTTCTTTCGGAAAGACACTTTGTCTTTGGTTTCTTGAAGTTTTTCTGTGAATTTGTCTTTCGTTTCCTCCATCCTCTCGGATATACGATCCTTGGTCTCCTCCATTTTCCCAGAGATCCTCTCTTTGGTCTCCTCCATCTTCTCCTGCAGGTATTCCTTCACGGGCGGAGGGGTGGACATGTACCCGTGCTTCCTCAGGTACTTCACAGACAGCGACGTTCCTCCGAGAGTCACCGTGTAGCGCGCAGGTGTGGCGATCTTCAGGAGAGCAGACAACATCAGCGTCACACTCTTGCAAATAAAGGCTTTTTATTGAAATCTACGATTCCGTGAAGAACTTTTAAGATCCATGGGACATTCCCATTGCACAAAAGACTCTTTATTATAGTGGAAAAAGGTTGTTCTGATTATTAAAATGTTCTTCACGCTTAAAAATGTCAATGACATTCTAATGAAATCATTTGAGGTGAAAAGATACTGTGCCTGAAAACACATTTTATTGAAAGTCTCTATTTATTAAATTTTACAAGGTGCAAATTCTTTTGGAAAACTGAACCTATAGTAAATCACCCTTGATTTTGCTTTGATCTTCATGATATTAACCAGCCTTTAAGTTCTATAGAAGGTTATTTTTATCATTCTAATTTGTAAATCAGAAAATCAACACATTAGTAAATTATTTTATATAATTAATTCACTAGAAACCGACACAGTTAGCCCACCTTGTACATGGCATAAGCGGTCAGTGCGTAGCCGCTCTGAGAATTCTCCAGGAGTTTCACCACCTTATCAGGAAACCCAACGTACTCGAGAAATGGCACCAAATTCACTCCTCTACAGACCAAAACAAGACAGGAAGCATAGAAAGACGTTTCACATAAAAGCCTTACATTTCTTAAGGGACAGTTATTCAAATATGAAGATTATGTTGTCATTTATTCACATGTTGGTAACCAACCACTTTTGGTAGCCATCGACTTCTTTGTATAGACAAATATAATAACAATAAAAAAAACACAGCATGATGGTAAATAAATGATGACAATTTTCTTATTTGGGTGAACTATCCTTTTAAGACAATTTCTGCAATTTAGTCATAATTTTTGCAATTTGGTACTGAGCAGTGCATTTTTAGTATTATTTATATACTACTATAGTCTTTATTAATTTGTGTTTATTTTAGAATTTTTTGAGCTTTTATTTTTATACTGTTTTCTTTTTACTCACTTGTTTTTGTCATTTTTATTATTACTTTATCTAAATGTTAATATTTAGGTTCTATTTATTTTTATTTCAGTTTTAGGTTATATTTATTTTCCCATTTACTCATTTTAAGCCTCGAACTTTCAACAAAAATAAAAATGTTGCCTTGGCAACTAACTGAAATAACTTTTCCAGCCAATATTTCTATTTTATTTCAATTATCAAAATGTTTTAATAGTTAGTTAATGATAACAACCCTGACACTGTGGTTTAACACGATCACGTATTTAAAGTGAACAAAAAGTAGATTTAAAAATAAAAAATAAGATAAAAACACACTTCTTGTTTTCAGAAGATATTGAAAAATCTACTGAAATGCAATACTTATTTAAAAATCAAATGTTCAAGTTAGACCAAATAGGCATCTTTAATAAGAGCTAAAGGCTGTGAAGACTGGTGGTGAACATCTGAGGAGACAAACTGATGACTCTGGTCTCGTCTGGTCTTGTCTTCTCTGCAGAGTGAGGTCATGCTGAATGAAACCTCTCAAGCATCCATTACTCCCACATTTCTCAAACGTCTAGACAGTGGTGACCCACATTCAGCCAGATGTAATGCAGAGTAAACATTCCAGTGTGTCGTTTACCTCAATCCACCACGCGCCATACACATACAATGACTGAGCAAAAAGAGAATTACCCAGTACCTACCTAACACCCCCCAACACACACCAGCTTAACCTCTCCTACAAAACTCTCAGATAGTCCTTATTCATTGGTTTGTTTTGTCAGAACCTACAACTTCATGTTGCGCTTCTCATAGGACATTGGCATTTTAGTTATTTCGTTTTTATTTAATTAACCAGTCTGAAATGTCATCAATAACAGACCGATATACTGTATCAGTCAGGCTGATATTAAGAAGCAGATCAATCCTGAGAGCGCGAAGTGTTGATTTAAATTCAGCAAATTTTCAGTCGCATTAGATCATTTTATTGTACTTTTCATTTTTATTAAAAAAACATAATTATTATAAAATGTTATTAAAATTTACTGCCCACCAGCTACCATTCTCTCTAGACATCAGGGCTGCATAATTAATCAAAATATATAATAATAATAATATTGTATTATTTTTCTTAAACACTTGAAATATATTTTTAATTTACAGTAAAATTATTACAACAGTTTTATAATAATATTGCTTTTTATTACATATTTGTAATATTTTTTATTTAGTACTAAAATAATAATAATAATTATTATTATTATTATTATTATTATTTTATAGCCATATTGATAATCTCAAAATTATGGCCAAATTATTCAGTCCTACCAACAAGCACAGCAAACCTAGAATTTCTTTTAAATAGCATTTTTAAACTGTAATCACAATTGTGACCCCGGACCACAAAACCAGTCATAAGGGTACATTTTTCGAAATTGAGATGTATACATCATCTGAAAGCTGAATAAATAAGCTTTCCATTGATGTATGGTTTGTTAGGATCGGACAATATCTGGTTGAGATACAACTATTTGAAAATCTGGAATCTGAGGGTGCAAAAAAATCTAAATATTGAGGAAAATCTCCTTTAAAGTTGTCCAAATGAAGTTCTTAGCAATGCATATTACTAATGATAATACATTTTTTATGCATTTACGGTAGGAAATTTACAAAATATCTTCATGGAGCATGATCTTTACTTAATATCCTAATGATTTTTGGTATAAAAGAAAAATCTATAATTTTGACCCATACAATGTATTTCTGGCTATTGCTACAAATATACCCCAGCGACTTAAGACTGCTTTTGTGCTCCAGGGTCACAATTTATATCAGAAATTTGTCTCCAGATTGTACAGCCCTGCTAGATATTATTATCAGTTGTTAAATAACCCATAGCGTTCATCACTAAATTTGATTGGTGATTCACTCAGTGGTCTTCGACTAACAAGTATTATTTCAATCTAAATTGACACAGTTGTGATCCATCATGGACTTACTTCATTGCAGCGTAGTAAAAAGTGCCGAACCACACTGTAGAGGTCAGCAGGTGCACAGGGATCACGACTTTGCCGTACTGCTTAAAGGTTTTCTTGAATCTCTGAATGAGGCCACTGGATTTGTCCTGCAGAGGGTCCGGATCCTCCTGCCCTGGAGCAGGGCTTCCCGGATGATCTCTGCTGGTGTTTCTCTGAGAGCTCATGTGTTTCCAGCAGCTGTGGGCCGCGGGACGGCTGCGGGGCGGAGGACTGATCTGCAGCAGGACAGCAGTCTGCCGGAAGACTCTAGCGCACACTAACCGCTGCATCCCAAACAAGCTTCTGCTCCCAACGGTCTGCCAACAGAGAGACAAGACCACAGTCTGACAGGGACCTGACTGCGAGAGCAAGAGAACGTCCGAAGTAAAGAAGACAAGATCACAAATGACAATGAAGAAAACTCTCTAAGATATAAGCGGATGGTCAGTAGTATGAGATACACATAAAAAACACAATAAACAAAAGTCTGAGACCACATTGAGACTATTTATCGTTTTTATTATTATTTTTATTATATTTAAACGACAAAAATGTTTTAAAAGGGTCCTATTATGCTTTTTCACTTTTTTAATTTTAGTCAGCACAACACATTTTGTTTTTCGGAAGGCGGACCTTCATCAAAGCCGGAACTAATCGAGCCGTTTGTGCCAGGCTGGGGAGAAAGGTATTTTAATAATGTAAATTATGTGAAAAATAATGTGTTTTTCGAACCACCGAGCATGAGAGCATGTTCTAGTACACCCCAAAACATAATCAAGACTTTGTAAAAGAGCATAATAGCACCCCTTTAAGGAATTTAAAAAAATAGTGATAAAGGTATTTTTAAAAAAGGAGAAACAACATTATATGAAAAAATAGACTATTTCTAGAAAAAAATAATAAATAAATAATTCTATTGAAGCTCAAAACGCTCTTTGAATCAGTTTAATTTATGATAGAGAATTTTAATATACATTTTATTTTCAATAGTAACAGTTCATGTTAGCTCGAGTGCTGCTGGCATTGAAGAAAACAAAGATTTTCTATTTAAATTTCACTCAAACTGTTACAGTATCTGACGATTTGTTGTTAAGAAAAAATAAAAATCTAAATAGCGGTAACCACATCAGTATCTGCCGTAATTTACTTGTATTACATTATTGGTATTACACTGATATTAGAAGCACATATATTTACCAAACAGTTTTCAAGAGTACTAAAGATGTGTCCATATTTTCTACTGCCCATTACAATGTGTTAATGCCTGATTTTATTTGCAGCTTGTGATTCCACTTATTCTTTGGCTGACAACAGACAAACCCTGTAGATTTATAATAAATCCCGTGTATCATGTCAGTTGACGCGAATTATTTTTCCTACCTTCAACATCCCATCGGTTCAGCAGCTGAAAACATTGAAGAAAAAATAAATAAATCAGCTGCACATGCTCAGTCACATTTACAAAGAAGCTTTATAGGGGAGAAATCACAGACCGACCTCCTAAAACTCAAATGTTTCGTATTAGCTTGTGAAGTGTTACGGTAGTCACCAAACGTGAGTCAGCTAACGTTAGCTTTGCTAAGGGATGTCTACTGACTGACCTGCTAAACTAATCAAAGTCGTACCCGTCCTGTGGCTAAACACACAGCGCGCCATGAGAAATGTGCACAGCTACATACAGGAGTGATTAGATCCGGCATGATGTGACTTCCCTACCACACACACGCATTTATTCATGTCCTTTCTGTCATTCAGAGACCCTGAGCAGCGCGCAATGCGTTGTGGGAAATGGAGTACAGTCGTGCTGATGATGAGAACGGACTACATGCACGTATTTCCGGTAGAATCTCAGCCAGTGACTTCACTTCCGTATAACGAAGCATACTAGCCGCAGACGACAAAAGATTAGTATTTTATAAATAAGTATTGTTATAAACATAAAAATATATAACATCTCATTCTAGTTATTGCTTCCTTAAAGTTGACTAAACATTGTTGTGTCCCGATGTGCTAAAGGCACGATTACCCTCCTTATTCCAGTAGAATATCTACTCGTTTTTAGAACAACGCCCTTAATACAAGCAAAGTATTGAAGAGTAACCACCAGAGAGTGAGACAGACTTCATTTATACCCTTGCCTTGCCTACTCGCACACACTTCACAACAATTCCAGTAGAACAGCACAATATATTAATTAAAATAATATTTAGTATAGAAATTGTGTATGGATAAATTTGTGTTTTATTTTTTTTACAAATGTAAATGTAAATGTTTTTTGCAAT